GGGTGAAGGCTTAAAATTGCTAACACTTTACCAATGTAAAGCAGCCATTAAACATCTAGAAACTAAAATACCAAAGCACCATCTGTGCTCTAGCTGGATTCAGTCACTTATTGGATTAGCTTATTATGAACTGCGAGAATATGAATCTGCTGTTTCTGTATTCAAAGATATACACGAAACGGAACCGCATCGTTTACAATACATGGAAATATATTCCTCGTCGCTTTGGCACTTGCAAAAGGAGGTGGACTTATCAGCTCTAGCACAAGATTTAATAAACCAGGATAAGACTTCTCCCGTTACTTGGTGTGTCGCCGGAAATTGCTTCTCTTTGCACAAGGAGCACGAGACGGCTATTAAGTTCTTCAAACGTGCCGTTCAGGTGGACCCTGATTTCGTTTACAGCTACACTCTGCTTGGTCATGAGCTCGTTCTTACGGAAGAGTTGGATAAGGCAGCAGATTATTTCCACGCCGCAGTAGCGCGAGACCCGCGACACTATAATGCGTGGTTTGGCATGGGCACCATATATTCGAAGCAAGAAAAGTACGAATTAGCTGAATTGTATTACATCAGGGCGTTAAAGATCAATCCTCAAAATTCGGTTATATTGGTACATATTGGAGCAATGCAATATTTTATGCAGAAAAAGGAACAAGCACTACAGACATTGAACACCGCCGCAATGTTGGATCCCAAAAATCCGTTGGCGCGTTTTCACCGTGGTTCAATTTATTTTTCACTGGGAAAGCATCAAGAAGCTCTGCGGGAACTAGAAGAACTAAAAGAAGTGGTGCCAAAGGAGTCAGTAGTATTTTATTTAATTGGAAAGATCCATAAAACTCTTGGTAATGTTGATTCAGCACTTATGCACTTCAGCTGGGCAACCGACCTCGATCCAAAGGGTGCTAACAACCAGCTAAGAGATGCATTTGACTCAGCAGTGGTCCCAATGTTTAGTCCCGCTAGAAATGAGCAGAGCGTGGACGCAGATCAAGAACCGATATCGGAGCATTCGGACGACTCAACGCAAGCACAGCAAGACATTAATTATGATAGTGATGCTTACTAAATTACAAGCTGCGGGAATGTTTTTCCACGTGTATGTATTAGTTCGAAAGTAATATATTCAAAGCAAAGGTGAAACCAAATAATTCGTTAATGCTGCGGAGTGTGTACTTGGCATTATTAGTGAGTTCACTTCTTCGGTTACTAATCGACAGCAAACAAATCCAAAAGATAGACGGAAATAAAATACAAAATTTAATTCTGAATGGCATCCCTACTGAAAAATGATATGAAACAACAATTAAATTTCAACTTGCACTTGAGCACCCAGCAAGATACGTTGAAATTAATTATTTATATATACAGTCAGCATCAAAAATATGAATACCCTGACGTTTTGACTATTTTAATTATATATATTTTCCATACCAAAATTTTCTTATTTTTTATAAAAATGTAGTTCATTCAGCAGCTTAATTAATTTCATATAGAACTCGGGGGAAGAAATATAAAAAAATTCAATAAAAAACAAATTTTGTTCATGTGATATAGGGAAGAAAATGCGCAATACCCTTGACAAAAAAGATCTCTAAAATCAATGGTAATTCTTGGAGACTTTAAATTTGCACCATATAATTATGGTGACCATCCGTCCTGTTTTTTTGCAGAACCGTACTGTTATTCAAAGGTCTGTCCTGCGTAGTTTTTCAAAACAGAAAAACTTAAAATGTACTGATTTTTTCCCAGTGTCCTGCATTTGTCCCGCATTTTATTCGATACTTCAAAATTAACGGCGGAAGCACTATACTTATAAAAATAAAAGCAGTGTCGATAACTGATTGATAACTACATGAAGGTCCTGGATCCTGGAGGATCCTGATTTGGAAACTTCAACCAGTCAGTGCGTCTAAATTTTGCGCGGCCGCGAACAATGGATGGATGATATTTGGTACTTATCGGAGCTTTTCTTCAATAACTCATAAAAAAATCTTCCAATCAACGTAAGTTCGAAAGGTACTGATGTGCCCCTTACAAAAATATATAACTTGTGCCGATTTCAATGAAAATTATTAAAGCTACAAGCGACAAAGTCGAAACAAGAAGATTTTCAATCAACTACACAGTTTTACTTGATTCTTTTTTCATTATTTTTAAAATTCGATGTATAGAAGATGTGTCAATACAGTCAATTTTGAGCCTAAAACTATATTCCACAAATACCTTTACGTCGACTTTTTACAAATAACAGCGAAAATACCAACAATTCATTGGAAAAATTCTGAAAATGTTTCTTTGAAAAATGGGTTTTGTTTTCGAGTTAAACGACCCAAAGTTTGTCTATAAAATTATCTTTACAGAGGTTCACTGTAGAGGTTCGTGTAAGCTAATGTAATTATAATATGTTTTATTATAATTTTATAAATATTCATTTAAGAAAAGATTAATACCAATGAAGAAAGTTTGACTTATGTTTAAAGTTTAAAATGGAATTAAGAAACATATACTATACACGTTTTTGTTATTTTTATTCTATGAAAAATTGTCCTAAATTTTCAATTCATATTTATGTTCACCGTACATATAATACTAAATTTGAATGGGTTACAAAATTGCATACAACCGAAATCGAATTAAAAAATAGAAAATTTTGATAAAAGATTTTCATATTTCTTAAATTTTCTTTGGGGAAAATGCTACTCCCTGGGAGTTACTTATTGAGGGTTTCTTTCTCGGAAGAAATAAATTCCCGGAGGACAAACTCCCCGGGAGTATTAAGAATTGGGCTGTATATGAAATTTAAAAAAAAAAAAAACAATATTCTGTGGTTGTAGCAGCATGTAAGTTCCCCAAAGGGTGGGGTGGGGAGTGTTGCTGGAGTGACAGTCCTTGGCCAGATATAAATCTGGGTCGTTTCGGTTACGTAGACCCGACTGTCGTGGGAACGTGGGAAAAAAATATTCTGCTAGTTTTTGCTGTTAGATGAGCTATTTGGTATGGAAAATATAAATAAATAAAATCGTCAAAACGTCAGTGTATTCATATTTTGTCGCTGAATGTATATAACCGGCAGATTTTCTAGTTGAAATACTTTATTTTTTATTTTTTTATTTTTCCTTCAAATTGGTAGGATATGGGCTGCTTTTTTCGCGTTAAGTTCTTTAGCTACAAACGTTTAATTTTAAAAAATGTATTGTAAAGTGGTCAAGACCAATCGACTATTTGAAAATTTAAACGAGAAAGTTTTATTGACAACCGGAATCAACGATTGTATCTTTAATATTATTAAAAACTAAAAATTCTTCAGTCCCCTACAATTTATTGAATTTAATTATCGCAACATACATAATATTATGCAATATTAGTATAGGTATGAAACATGTTTCGATCCTTTTAAAGAATTTGTAAATATGGCTAATTTACTATCTATCATTTAAAATATATTTTGTTTTTCGTGGTGAAAAATACCATTCTGAGCCGTTGCCGCTGGTGGGGCTTTTATCTTAAGGATATCAAAGCAAAGAAATATTACATAAATCAACTTACATGTTAATAAATAAGTCTTATTTTATTGTTATCAGCAGTCGGTAATCATTAGGTTTGTTCGTCGAACAAAAAATTTTAACGAATTCGTACGAATTATCATAAATTTTACCCAAATCGCGTTCGTGCAGACCAAAAAATTATCCATCACTCAAAAACTGAGAGGGCACAGTGAAAGTTCTCCTGAGAGAAGTTGCAAATTCTTTCTGGAAAAATTTTAGCCAGCAGGAATTTGCAGTCACGAAAAACATATGATTGTGGCACATGGTTGAATTTTCGTCTACGATAATTTGAATAAATAAGTTCGTTAAATTTAAAAATTTATAAACACGGGCGATTTTTGTTGATATAATTAATTTAGTTAATTTCAATGATTTGAGCTTAACTCGGCTGAAAAAAATTGTATTCGCAATCGGATGCAAATGCAACCAGAGTCGATTTAAGAAACGCGACAGCTAGTACGATAAAGAAATTGAAATGTATCTGTTTTGGTCCATCTGAGAGAATTTAAAAAAATCTATAAAAATTTATTATGTTTGAAATGCAACCGTAGACACCAGCTGGCAGGGAAACTTGCAAATTCCTGCAAATTTCTACACGAACGGAAGTTTCTCAATATGAGATAGAATTTGAGACAATTTTTTCTTACTCTCTGATATTTCGGATTTTGAGTGTTGGATAATTCATGCTGGATTTTCGACGAACCTATTGCCATTTATGCCAGCTGGTGATCACGATCAGCTGCAAATGAAAGTCAAGGTAAGTTCTTTGAGGAATAAATAGCAAATGTACCAAACAATAAAAGATTATTTACATTACTTAAATAAAAAATATAATATTTGGCGCCTACACTTTCAATAAGCGTTTGGCCGATCTTCTAGACTTTCTCTAATTTTAGAATTTGCTGGCACCTCTAAACACACCGCTAAAGCGGCCGTTAATAATGTTGTAGGGGCTACTTAAACCTGCCTAGAATGGAATAATCCTTCAATCGTTGTCGTCAAGTATAATTAAAGGTAGGGGATAGTAGTCTTAGTTGAATTGGGTTGAGTAGTCATGTGAAGAGGTGGTTGTTACCTTGAACAGTGCTGAGGTGGAGGTTTCCCCACGATTTTAAAATGCTGATTAGTCCCATTTTTCAAGATTGTAGTGTAAAATGACATTACCAGGAATATTGAAGGACTTTTCTCCTTTTTGTGCAAAACGGGCAACGGAATATTGATAAAAATTTTAAGTGTCTTACAACTTTTTAGCATTTTCAACACTTTTGTTCATGAAGTAACGCTTTTAACAGTAATAAAAAAATGCGTTGCCCATACACCATGTTGCACAAATATCCTTTTGTGAGATTTTGTACTAATAAAAAATTCATCAAAATTGGGTTGGCTTTGGTATTTGGATTTAATTTTTAGTATTTTTTATAGTTTAGATGCATTTTAATTACTTACGTATATATATTTTAGATCCATGCGGATGGCATCCATCGGATACCGTAATAGGCATGATTAAGTTTAAGATAGTTATTCATTATTGTGCAGAAAAATACGCATATAAAATATGGTGACTTGACGAAGTTTCACTTCAGCCGCGCATATGTGTTCAAATTTTTGAGAATAACGTACGATTGCCATATTATATACAGAAGTGTGTTTATTTCTTTAATTTAGGAAGCTTTTCAGTTATTATTTTTAGTCTAATAATATGAATTTTTCTTCGATGTTTATAGTTGGACACTTCGTTGGTACAGCTTCAGGCTGAAACGCAAAAGCTACTTTTTTCAATGTTTCAGTATCCAGTTTCATTATCTTCTCCACCAAATTAATTAAGTAATCATATTGAATATTTAACACATATGCTAAAGTTTGTAAGTGTAAAACTTGCATACGAAATATAACTTTATCCAATTTTAAAATATCTCGTATATCATCGCAGCCAAATACTTCTCGTAACGACTCCGGTAGGGAAAGTGTAGAAGTTGATGAATCAAAATCGAGAGTTTGTGTTAATTCTGGTGTAGGAAAATTGGTTTCTGGTAATACGTTCTTATTATAAACGGAAGCAGGTTTCCATTGTGATGTTGGATTATTTAATTTGTCATCAAAGTTTTGATTAGTGAAATGAGTGGGATAAATTGGAGGTAATAGAGAATATGTGTTTGATTGGATGCTCATTGTAGGAATTCCTTTATTGCAAGAATATAAAGATTTACTTTCCATCGGCCTAGCTGTTACTGCAGTTCGAATTAATGGGTCTCTTAATGGGTTCAAATAACTGTCGATAGATATGGTGGGAGCTTTTATTTCATTGTTCTCCGTGGCAGCAGCCAATGAACTTTTTCTTTGTCCAGGGGTTTTTTTTCTGTGTTATGCGCTTTTTTCTTCCTTTACTAGCAGTTGATGCAACCGCCGCTGCTGATCGATGACTAAATAGTTATTAAAAAGTATAAAATAAAACATTTGTTTAATAAATAAGTTATAATTAAAGAATACCAACTAAAACATACATTTACAAGCAGGTTCTGCAATTCACTAACGAGTGAATTTCAATCTAATTCGCTTTGAATTCAAATTCGAAGAGGTCGAAGTTGACCCGGAAGTGATTGAACCTACCTGATAATTGCAGTTTGATATATTTGTAGATACATATGTATGGGTGCATTCCAAAATGTCAAATACAAAGCATTAGTATCTTTTATTCTCACCCTCGTTCTTGGTTCCTCTGTTTAGATATAGGATTCTTTTTCTGGGTGTTTATTGGAATCGCCCCTACAATCCCTGTACTCACAAACTTATGACTTGTAATATCGTTAGATAACTCTGAGCTGTAAACCTTACCCACTGGTGTAGGTAATCTGTTAAATTTTGTCTCATTCGTGACACTTCCGTTATCTTCATTATCTCTTTGTATTTTAATATCCATATTAGCTTTATCATAACCGGGAGTGCTACCATACACAAGGTCAGTAGGTTTGTTAGTAATTTCTGTTTTCTTCATAAGACGTTGCGAGCGGCGCATATTTTTGCAGAATTTTGTATTTTTTTCACAGGAAGTTAAAATATTACGGGAAAAATTCACTTCCGTTATAACAATGAGGAAAATATTGTTCTTACACAGGGCTCTCACGCATCATACATAAAAAAAGATAATCTGCCTTATTAAGCCCAAAATACAATAACGCAGTGGAAGTGGCAGCGACAGTTTTTCGAAATCAGCTGTTTTTTTAGAAAGTGTGGTGTCCAATGAACCGACTCACAATACAGCAGTGGCAGCTAGCAGTACTGCTCAGTTTAGCCCAAATTCTAAATTCCCTGTCACTGCCTTCATCGCAGCAAACTTCGCATGCTGAATTTAACATGAATGAAAGGCAGTCAACATCTGTTGATGTCACTGAAGTCTAAAAGGCAACAAGAAAAATGTAAACAAACAAAAGGGAATGTCAAAATGTTTGCTACAACAGTGACTGCCAATATTAGCAGTAACAGCTGATTTTAAAAACTGTTACTGCCACTGCCACTCCGCTATTGTATTTTGGCCTTTAAGCCTGATATACAGTTCAATGCGAGCGTGAGCGTGAGCTTTTTATTTTGACCAATATCTTCGTTATTACTCAAATTTTTGCTATAATTGAGACATGAAAATATAGAGAATTAAAATATCTTTCAGAATTATAGAATAAAAACTAATTTAAAATGCATAATATGCCTTTTTTCGAGCTCACACTCAACTGTGTGCGCATGCAAAGCATTCGCATGTGAACGACAAGTTTTGACAGATGTGTGTGAGCGTCCATAAAAATACAAATGGAATTTTTTGCCTTTGCGAACGTTCACGCTCACACTCGCATTGAACTGTATATCAAGCTTAATGCAGCGTTTTTGCTGCATTCAAAATGCAACATTTAGCACTTTCGAACATGTGTTTTAGAAGAGCGTTCATGCTATCGCATTTAGCAAATGTACTGTGGCGAATACTGCGGCAACGCGAAGCGAACAACGAGAAATAGGCAGAATCAAGGCGTATTCCATAAGGTGGTATCGGTACGACAATAAAAAAGGAACATGTATTTTGTTTTTGCTTTTGCGGACCTGCGGGAGTCGAGTACATGACCGCCGCTTTCAATTTGTCACTGTCCACCCTGATCATCCCCGAGATGTGGAAAATGAAAAGGATCATTCCCCTCTTTTAGCCAGGGAAGAAGGCGGACGCAGGAGACTAGTACGGACCCATCTTACCGATCTTTCCAATTTCTTCACTGCAAGGAGCCGCCAAATCTCCGCCGTAAAATCCACCGCCATACTACTTCCAATCTGGACCAAGGAGGTAGGGCTAGAACTGGACGTCTTCGTCGATGGCGCCAAAATACCGACGACTAATCACCCTAAAATCCTAGGAGTGACATTCGATAGCCTTTTCTCCTTCTCCGTGCATGCCACAGCCACATGTAACAAACTCCGGGCCAGGAACAAAGTCCTCATATCGCTAGCTGGCAGCACCTGGGGAGCCGACAAAGAAACTCTGCTCGCGACTTACAAGACAATTGGCCGGTCAGAGGCAAACTACGCGGCACCAGTGTGGACGGCGGGGACAAGCGACACCTGGTGGAGGAATCTCCAAGCCTGACAGAACGCAGCTCTACGTAAGAAAGCCAGATGCTGGCGTTAAAAGAACACAACACCATGCTGTCGAAGCCATACCTCGTGGGTTTTCACCGAGAGAAACCTCCCAACAACGCCTTTCTTCGAAACGAACCGCCCCACGACACGTGAGACGACACCTGCACGACTGGAAGGCAGACATTGAGCCGTACGTTGACCATCCATTCGACGCAGCAAGATACAGAGCGGCGCGCAACACCCTACACAGCGCTGCGGTCAGAACGAGCCCCAGCACGCGCAATGACAACGCTGTCTTAGATGGCCGACCGCCGCCAATTAATTTAGAGGAATCTGAACTGCGGAGAGAGACCGGGTGCACCCTTGCACAACTCCGTTCGGGGTGGTGTAACCGACTCAACAACCTCTCCCGGCTAAATAAAGTGGCAAACACCTGCCCGCAGTTATAGTTTTAGGTTTAACGTGGGTACCTTCCGCAATCTAATGCAGTCCAAGCTCAACGGAGCCCCTAAAGCTCAACGGATCAATTCAATGCGCAGATCAGCGCCCCGAAATGCAAGCATCTCGGTACCATTTGGCAGCGCGGAATGGACACACTAACCACTTTGGTAGGGTTCGAGGCCTATCTAAACCTCTGCCGTGCTATGGGTCCGGCACCCGGTTGCAATGCAACTCCACATCGAGCCAACACGACTCTCCCCGCATTCGGGTTTAAACCACAGCCACCACGATACTCCCCGTAGGGCCAAGCCGCACGAGCAGATTGGAGCAAGCTCCAAGGGCAACTGCTCCCCGTGGTACCAGAATTAAGTCTCCGGTCAGACCTCGTGGCCGAAGCCACTCTCAGTTGAGTTACCATACTACTCTGGACTGGTAGCCATCACCAACACCACCTATCTACTCAACTCGTATTCGCCTTCTAAAAACTTCACGTGCGAAATTCCTCAAGTTCGTTACCGTCAAATGTGTGGAGAGGGTACTACCGAAGTCGTACCGTCCATCCGTCCATTTTACCACCATGCTGTCAAGATTCCTCAAGTCCGAGTATCTCGGGCATTCGCAAAGCACGTGCTCGACATCCTCAAGCTCCGCTCCACACTCACACCCCTCAGAGTAATTGAGGTTCCTCTTGTGCAAAAAAGCATTAAGAGGACCATGCCCCGTTAGTAGAAAATCCAAACTCAAGCAATACCCGAAGCCCGGATTCTCTCCCATAAACCCTACACTCGGAATGAAGCGGTATGTAACACGACCATTGAAACTACCATCCCAACGGTCCTGCCACATACCACGCACTCTGTCATCCAACAACCGTTTGTACTCAAGATAGCACCTCTCCAAGTCACCGTCCGAAACCCACCTAGTCAACGGCAACATGTTCATGCCTCTTCTCATCCTGAAGGTCACAGCTCTCGCAATAACCACCAGGTCAAGAGGAGGCACTCCCATCAATACCTGAAGCGTCACATATCTAAGACTGACCCCGTTGACGAAAACCACCGGTGTACGTCACAACGATAGCTTCCCCTTGAGTAACATTGTTACCGTCTTGCCAACCGAAGTGTCGACCCCCATACGTTGCCCCCACCTACCGACGATCTCAAGCAGCCGTTATCCCTGCCTTTCTATATCTGACCTGGAATTTCCTTCCGCCCAGACGAGAAGGTCATCGGCGTACGCACTAAAGCCACAGACTGGCTCGAGCTCCCACAGCAGGGAATCCATCATAAGGTTCCAAATAAATGGACCACTGATGTGACCACGAGCCACATCGACCTCAACAGTCCCCCTGCGATCGGAGAAATAACTCCGCCAGAGAGCTATCTCTGCACACCCCAGCTCTTCCAAACGCTCAATGACTCTGTCCCAACGTGGGTAGTCAAAAGCACCCTTAAAGTCAACAAAGGCCAAGGACATACTTGTTGACACTCCCCCGTACTACTCACGTGGAAAATAACCCTCCCAAATACATTTATCATAGATAGCCTCCAAATATTCCGGAATGAACTTCCACAAGCATTTGCACATCTCCGTTCAAACCGTCAATACCCGGTGACTTTCTAGACCTAACAAGGCCAAACGCATAACCCAACTCCCCAGCATCTAGTGGGGGGACAGGCACCTCTTGTGCTTGAGGAACCTGCACCTCCGCCCTAGGAAAGAACGTTCGTAACAGAGCCCCTGCACACTCCCCCACGATGATAACATAGTGTCACCAACGCGAAGAGAGGTGATTTCCCTACTCTGACGACCCCGACAGATCTTAAAGACCTGTCCCCAAGGGTCGTCCCTATTTTCCCCTACAAATCTCCGCCAGTGCTCCTCTTTCGTCCTGACTAGCAGATCTTTGTATTCCCTCATCTCACTCCTATATTGACTCCTAAGCTGGAACAGATTATCCCCCCCCCCCCCTCCCGCTACGCCTACATCTTTGAAACAAACGTCTCGATCGACGGACAGCCTTCCTCTTGTCATTGAGCGCTCGCGACCACCACTTCACCCGCCTAAGATTAGGCGGCACCCATTTACGCAGCGCGCGATCATTTACCTTCCAAACGATTTCGTTAAGACAAGCTATTTGCTCAACCGAGGTCTTCTCCTCAAAATCGCTCAGAGGCACTACCCGCATAGCCACTTCGGCTGGAAACCCCACTGGTACGCCACCTTCTCGCATGACACACAGAATCCCTGCCAGGAGGCGTATGGGGCAAGATCACGATCTCAATAAGATTGTGGTCACTTATACCCTATCCACCCCTAACTCTCCAGTCGAAACTGAAGTCCCTACTGCCTGCCGCATTCGCCAACGTAACATCTATGTCCCATTGGACCGTCGAATGTAAACCACTCGCTCGGGACATTAAGAATGTCCACCTCGTTTACTGCCACCCATTCTGCTAACGACTCCCCCCGCTGCCAGCTTCGATATCCCGACATATCGAGGGATGTCTTGCTGAACCATGCGGTTGGGGAGGCGTTCGCGTCTAGACCGATGACAACAGGTCTGCTACAGGCCAGAAGTAGCACCGTGTCAAGGTAGACGAGGTAGGGTTCCAATGACTCACCAAACCTACAATAGCTGCTGCTGACGAGCAGCCTCCCGAACCTACCCTCTACACTAACAACTACCCCTAGCTCAGACGAGTCTACCAACACGCTCTCTAAGTGCGGGTTGTTCACCACAACTGCAGCATTGGCCCCACGGTCAATGAAAACCCTGAAGCCACCAGGGAGACCACACCCTGCGTGGCATAAGGTTCCTGGAGCAGAGCTATGCTGCAGCCCTCCTCTACCATCAATGCGCCTACATCACACATCACTGAATAAGCCCCCTGACAATTAAGTTGCAGGACCTTACCCATCTTAATGTCTGGCAAGCGCACGGGCAACAATTGCACCCGC